CGGGCCCAGAGAGCCTGTGGGTGCTCAGGGGCTGGGTCTCAGAAAAGCATCTAAGGCAGGAGCCTTGGACAACACAGCTGGGGTGCTGCCTGGAGTACTGGGTAGTGGTCCCCCCAACCTCATCCCAGAGCTCCCCCCACCAGCCTCCCTACTCCTGCCCTCTGACCTTTCTGGGTATCGAAAATGCTGGGCTGGCCCAGCTGGCTGAGGAGGGGGCTCCCGCTGCTTGGGGGCTCCAGGTGGTTTAGGTGGAGGTAGGATGGGTATAGCCCGCTGGGCAGGTGAGAAAATCCTGGAAGAGAGAAAAGACGCTGGGCTGAAACATCTCCTGCCTCCCACAGGGACCTTCCTTCGACCCTCTCTTCTTGGAAGTAATGTCTCTTGGCTGTCAGCTCCCCCACCCCATGGTGGGAGCCCTGCAGTTTACCGCCAGCTCCTCAGAACAAGGACTGCCCCTCCGAAGCCTGGCACTCAGGCCTCCCTCTATTCCCAGGCAGCCCCCAGAGGCTTGGGCTCTCAAATCCCCCAGGAAGAGAATTATACTGGATCCAACAAAGGGCAATGATGATGATGATGATGATGATGATGAAGATGGCGGTCTAATCACAGACCAAGCCCTTTTAACTGCTTTGCCTTTGTTATTCTCATTTACATTTCAAAGGAAAAACCGTGTGAGTCAGATACTCTTAATATCCCCATTTTACAGATGAGAAAACTGAAGCTCAGAGAGGATCACTTGCCCAAGGTCACACAGCAGAGGAGCCTGGCTTTGAATTGAGGTCACCAGGACTCAACCTCAGCCCAACGTGGACCCAGTTGAGTGGTATACTGGTTTAACTTTGCTGTGTGACCCCAAACAGGTCGCTTGCCTTCTCTGAACCTCAGCCCACCCAGCATCTCCAGCTGCTGGGTCTCCCAGGCATGCGCTGCCAGGAGGAATTAGTCCTGCCGTGGTTCCTCCTAACTTCCCACAACTCCCCACCCCGACCCCACCAGTGATGCCCAGAACCTGGGCCTTACGGGGCACAGAAGACAGGAAGGGTAGTCACCACAGAAAGAAAAAAGAGGCCCAAGATGGTACACGAGGAATGGAGGTCCAAGAGCTGCTCGGCAGGGCCCAGAGGGCCAAGCAGGTGCTGGGGGAGGGAACTGCCTCTCTGCCTGGGCTGTGGGTCCTATAGGACCTCAGGCCTATTGGAGATCCCCAAGGGACTTGGGTCCCGCATGTTCCCACCCAATTGCTCCCTCTGAGGCCAGAGATGCAGGACCTAACCCTGGCCACCCTGGGCCCACACCTTCTCCCACATCACCACCGGATAATGACATTAACAACCACAAAACAATACTGATCAGCTGATACGTTATCTTATTACTGAAATAACACTCCTTTGTAGGCACTGGTCACACTGCTTTCTCATCTGTAAAATGGGCATAATAGTCCCCCCTTCACGGCTTGTTCTAAGGATAAAGTGAGTTCTAGGAAGCAGTGCTTCTTGCACAGGAAGCGTACTGCATGTTTGCTATTGTTACAGTTATTAATAGTGTTTGTTGGCAAAGGAGAAAAGAGAGTCAGGGAGGGCAGAGAAGAACGCTGATGGCACAGTCCCCGGAGACAACTTCTGCTCTCCAGGCCCCTCCAGCCCCCGCGCTAGTGGGCAGAAGCGGGAGGCTCAGATGGGACCCCAGCCCAGAAGGACTGCCCACCATCCCAGACCTAGAGGCAAGATGGCCCCCCTTCCATGTGGGGCACACACATGTCAGGACAATGACAGAAGCACTTGGTGACGCTGGTACAGAGGAAGTGGGGATACGGTGGGCAGCAAAAGGCCCAGGAAAGTCTGAGCCTACAGCAGGCGCTCCCAAGGCCCCGATCTTCCAGGACCCACAGGAGGAAGCAGGAGGGAGCTGGCACCCAGCATCTAAAATCCACCAGAGCTGCAGCTCGGGGAGGAGCTGAGGCTCCCCCAGGCCCATCCCTTCACTGACAGAGGGAAAACTGAGGCTTCAGGGAGGCCCAGGATTTGCTAAGCCAGCAGGAAGCCAGGCCAGCCGAGCCCCCACATTTAAGGGCATCACTGCAGAACGACAATAAGGAAGCCCAACAGCACCCGATCCCACTGCTCCCACAACTACTGACAAGCCGACTGTGCGCCGGGGAGACAGCAGTGAGCAGAACAAATGAGGCCCCGCCCTCAGAGCGCACTCTGGTGGGAAAACGTATTTCACGAAAAAACAGATAAATCTGTCGCCACAACTGAGAGATGGAACGGGGGTCGGGGTAGGTGAGTGTTTGAGCCAAGCCCTGAAGGATGAACAGGAGATAGCCAGTGAGCTGGAGTGAGGGGCTGCAAGCAAAGGGAACAGCTCGTGCAAAGGCCCTGTGACAGCAACAAGAGGACCAGCTGAGCATTGGAAGAACAGCAAGGAGGCCGGATGACCAGGGCTGAGCCCCACTGGCCACAGCGTGGAGAGGCGACTGTGGAGGTGGGGAGGAGTGGGCAGACTTTAGAAGTGCTGGGGACAGTGGCCCAGCGGCCCTTGGCCCGCCCGCCTGGCTCACTCCTTACCTTCATGGGCATGGGCCGCCCACAGCTGCACCATGGGCAGGTTGCTGGGGGTGGGGGAGCGGAAGGAGAGGTCAGAGGGCAGGGGCACCGGGCTCCCATGGGAAGAGGCCGACGGCCCCATCCCGCTGGCCACAAAGCTGCCCAAGAAGGCCTCGCCTGCAGAGAGAAGGGGGGGACTGTCAGGCAGCCAGCAGGCCACCGCTGCCCAGTCCACTGCCCAGAGACCCCCATCTCTCTCCACATCTGGAAGCTGACACGGGCAGGGAGACCACCGAAACCTCCTCGGCCTCACCCAGCCCCTTGGACTCAGGACAGGCAGTTTGAGAAAACTGTCAAGTGAGACCCTAGGTGCCTCCAGGGCACCCAGCACTCTTAGCAGGAGGGCGTTACCATCCCCAGACCCAACAGGGGAATGTTTCTCCCCATCTGCAGATGAAAGCTGAGGCTCAGAGGGGGGCAGGCCTCAAGTCTGAGGCCACAGAGTGAGGAAGTGGACAGGGACTCATGTTCTGAGCTTCTGGACCAGGGAGGACACCCGAGAGTCAAAGAAGGACCCTCAGGGACCCCACAGTAGCCCTGGACAGGCCCAGACCAACCCCTCAGCCAGCCCCGTGAGGGAGGAACCGTGTGCCCATTTAACGGATGAGGAAGCTGAGGCTTGGAGATGAGCAGTGTCTGATCCCACAGGCAGTGATCGAATGCACAGCCAGTAGAGTGCCCCGGAACTATAGAGAACTAGCAAATGAACCCGTGAATGAACGAGAGCAGTGGGCCTGGGAGCTGAGCACCATGCCAGGGAGCTCTGGCCCTGTGGGCCATCCTTCCAGAGAGCAGAACCTCCCAATAGGGTCCCTCAAATGAGGCTGTGGGGCCCGCCTGCTGCCAGGAAGAATAATCAGCATGGCAGGGGCCTGGGTGCAAACCACACCCACCCCAGCCACGCCCACTTGGCCAGGCCCCACCCGCAGCAATGCCTTCTCCTCACTCCCGCCACCCGGGGGGGCTGCCCCTAAGACTCACACACCCCACCCTCCAGGGGCAGACCCTGGCAGGCTCCCAGTTCATAGGCCAGGGGGCGGGCTACAAGACCTGGGCAGGGGGCTTCCCTTACCTGGCCACCGTCTGCGTATGAGCAAAACGGGGCTAATAAGGCCTCCCTTGAGAATTGTGACAGAGGAAGCACACATTTAACAATAATAATAATCACAACAGCAGCAGAGCCCATTCACGGAGAGCCACCAAGCACCAGCTCCGACTGCCCGAGGTAGGAGCCCCCTCATGCCCCGTCAGACAACCTCTCCAAGCCCCTGGGAAGCGGGCACTGTCTGTCTAGCCCAGACTGGGAAGCAACTGCGGGGGGCTCACAGACGATGTGCGGCCCGCAGGGGTCCTGCAGACCCCCACCCAATCTCTGGGTCCCCGGCAGCCCCCCACGCAGGGCCTGCAAACCACAAGTTCTCACTCACCACCTCCTGGAGGGCACAAGAGCCCCCCACATCCACCCACTCCCTTCAGGGTGCTCGCAGGGAAACCAGGACTGCAAGGGGCAGGGCCTCCTTTTTGTTCCTCAAAGCAGAGAGATGGGAGGACACCTTCTGGCCACATGTGCCGTCACCACCCCGACCTAGGTCCAGAGAGATCCTCACACACACTCCAGCCCCACCCCGCCCCCTCACCAGACTCCAGCACCAAGCCCTGGGGACCCAGGGCCATGGCGGCCAGGCAGTCCGTCCATACGGGCCAAGTCCAGGCAGCGGGGCCTCCGGGCCCCCCAGGCCCCAGGCTTCCTCCTTGGCAGGCAGGCGGGTGGACGGCTCCGGAAGCCGGCAGCCAGAGGTTTGCGCAAGGGCTTACATCAGCCGCCAGCTCTTCCTGCCCCGGGCCTTGCGGAAGCCCAGTGGCCCAGGCCTGCCCCTGCCTGGGCTTGTGAAACCCGCCTAGCGGCACCCCAGGCCAGGCAGGGCGTTGGGGCCCGGATGCCACCAACGGCTCCCACCTGCCACAGGGCTCAACGGTGCCCGACCTCCCTCCCCCGGGCCCAGCAGGGGAACTGGTGCCCCGGCCAGACTGCGGGCGGCCAGCCTGTGCCCCGTGAGAGCCCCAGCGGCGTGTGCCTCTGTAAAATGGGCGCACCGCCTCCACCTCACCACCAGGGCCAGAACAACAACACTACAGTGGCATTAATCTACACAACTTCACTGCGCCCACCCCCTCCCCAAACTAGGCTCGGGAAGCAGCAGAGTGACAGATCTCAGAAGCAAATGAGATAAACCTCGGTTGCTGGAACCCCTGCTGCCTGCCTACCCTTCCATCCATGCCAGCTCCCAGGCCTCGTCGTAGACCCCTCCTCACTCATTCCCACCTTGGGCCCTTCCCTGGCCTCCACCTAGGATAACTTGGAAACGTTGATCTGAGTTCCCCTCCAGCAGATTCCCTCCCCAGGGGCAGGACCGGACCGTCAGCCTCGCTTTCTGCCACATCTGAGGTGCCTGGGACCTGGCACACAGCAGGTGTCAACTCTTGGCCTAAGTGACTGCATTGTGTCTGGTCCTCTCAGGGCCAAAGCAGACGGATGTGTGTTAGGATTAGGAGAGAAGGCCCGCAAAGCCCCTGACACCCGAGGACGCACGTGCCACCCAGGGCCGTCCCACCTTGTCCCCCTGGAGTGGAAGATGGGTAGCTGACCCCTCCAGACACATACCACCCGCCAACGTACCTGGCACCCTTTCGCGTGCCTAGGTACGCATCTCCCACCCCTCACATCCTGAGGCCCCAGCAGTGGCCTCCTGGGTTCACCAAGAAGGGAGCAGGCTTTAGGGGAGCCGGGGGGCAGGGACAGTCAGCTGGAGCCCACTGGCCTCTCCCCAGACTTTGCTGGAAATCCTCCAGCACAGACTGCGGTGGGAGGGGTCTCCCTCTCACCACGGGCTGAGCTCGAGGCCCGGCACCCCCGTGGTCCCAGGCCACAACCTAGTTACTAGAGGCCTCCATACCACCCTCCCACCCACACAAGTATCTCAGTCCACGCCTGTCAAAACCTAAAACATAATGTAACCAGAATAAAGTATCATGGTTCACACTCGGAAAGGACACCACCACCCTGCTGGAACCGGGCTTCACTGCTGCGCCTCCACACACTGTCACGTAGATACTCGTGGAATCTTCCCGCCAGCCTTTACAGAGGACAGTCCCAGGCCACACAGCCCTGGGCCGGGGGCAGAGCTGGGGCTGACCCCAAGTCCAGCCACGTAGCCCACACCCCTCTGCAGGCCACCAGGCCCCCCGTGGGAGTGTGTCCCCACTGGCCTGCCCACCTCCTGGACAGACTAGGACCGGGTACATCAGTGACACCCACCAGCCCACAACCGACAGCGTCCACCCCTGTTCTAGACCTTTGCTGGACACCCCAGGAGCCTCAGGCCACTTGTGGCTACTGAGCACTTGAAATGACTGGCTGATGAGACTGAGGAACCACATCTTCAATTTTATTAAATTTTAATTAATTTAGACTTAATTTAGCCACAGTCTGGGCTGAAGGTTCCTCCCTGCTGGAAACTGCAGCAGGGGCAGGGATGGGGCCTCTGACAGGCCAGGCCCTGACCATGGACAGGGCTGTGAGAGAGGGACCCCCAAGGGACAGTGAAAGACAAATCCTGGCCCCAAGGCCCGGGCACTGTGACCCTGGGCAAGGTGCTTCACTCCCGCAGGCTGTGCAGCAGAACAGGGCTATATGCCCCCTCTCCACCCCCAGTCCGGTGTATGCACAGATCAGATGAGTTCACGTCTGTGAAATGCTTTCGTGAAGCCCCACATTATTTATAGTGACACAACCTGGGGCTTGGAGAAGCCCAGCAACTCCTCAAGGTCAGGGTCTGAGAGGGACCATACCTCTACCCAAATTCCATCCGTCCTTCCTTCAAATCAAATTTTCATTTTCAAACTGGAGAACTGCTGGTTGCCTGTTGTGAAGGCACTAAATGCCACTGAAGTGCATGCTTTTCCAACAGTGAACTGTGCAGTATGGGAATTTCACCTCAATTTAAAAAAAAAGGCAGCAACACATAAGCTCCTCTCTCTGCCTCTGAATCTGGAGCTGCATCTCCCCCACTGCCCAGAGTATAGGGGTCTTGTCTCCTCCATTTTACAGACTAAGAAACTGAGGCTCAGAGGGGTCACCAGGCCTGTGCAGCCAAGTCACTCAGCGATGCCACAAGCGCCCCAAGGCCTTAGCTCAGGAATCCCACCACGTGGGGCCCTTATCTCCAGTAGGGCCACGGTCACTGGGACTCTGACTGAGGGAAGCCCCACACACAGGGCCTGGTGCTCGGAAAATGGTCTTCCCCTTCTCTGGACCCCAATGAGAGGGGAAGGGCACTCCAGGTGGGGCAAGAAAGGAGGCACCAAGGCCTGGCTATGGGGCAACGGGATGCTGTCACTGCCTGGGGGAGGGGTCCGGGGTCCCTGAAGGAATATGAGCAGCAAGGAGGCGGGCATGGACATCCTACTCCACCTGGTCTTGGCACCCCCCTACCCCATCTGTGCTCCCCTCCAGCACTGAGCTAACAGGCCCTCCCCTACCTGGAACCCACCAACATCCCAGCCCCACCCAGATGCACCTGGCAGGCCCTACAGAGAGGACAACAGTGAGGCCACCTTGGCCAGCCAATGGAATCTTGCCTCTGTACTGGATGGCGTCATGGGGGATCCTCCTGGAAGCTGACTGTATAATGGGGACCTGACGTCTGGGGGACTTGGATGAGGTCACAATGGGTACAAAGGTCTAATAAACAATGAAGGACTCAGAGGACTTTATCCTAGGCTGGGCTGGAATACGGAACAGCATAGCCCCGCAGGCTGCACCCCAGGGCCTTTGCACCTCAGCCTGGAATCCATTCCTCCCTCCAGATACCGCAAGTTAACTGCATACTTCCAGCTGTATATATCTCACTCCCTTCTCTTACAGCTCCTAGTGACACCAGATGAATGCAGCCTTCCCTAACCAGGGCTATCTTAAACTGCAACCCAGCCCACCCCCCACACCCTTTCCTGAATTATTTTTTTCCACAGTGCTTATCACCACTTATCATACCATATACACATTAGTTCCTTCTTTATTGTAGTTTCTTGTTTATTGTCCCTCTCCACCCTCTGGAACAGGAGCTTTTTCTTGAAAGGGCCAGATAATAAATACTTCAGGTGTTGCAGGCCTATTCTGTCTGCTGAGGAGGAAAAGCAGCCTCAGACAATACTTAAAACTACTGGGCTTTGTTCCAATGAAACCTTATTTACAAAAAACAGGGGGAGGGCCAGATTTGGCCCCAGTGGGCAGACCCCAGCGTTACCATGTAGGTTACTCCATCCCCAGGGCCCCATGCACTATATGTAGTAGGCTCTCGATTAATACTAACAGATGGGAGGGAGGGTGGACAAGGTCACGATCAGCTAGTGCTGAGGGAGGGACAAAGAGAAGCCTTTCCTGGGCCCTACTGCACAGCCGCCATAGGGCTTCAATGATTCAGTTCATCCTGTCTATCCCTCATCAGCTCTGGGAGGGGGGATTCCTGTCCCTTTTACAGACGAGAAAACTGAGGCTCTGACTCCACAGTCTACCCTTTGCCATTCAGCCACACCACCCAGACTCAAGACCCTATTTTCATCTTTTCATTCCCAAAGACCCCCTCCCCAAACCAATACAGAACAAATGTATCTGCCCTTCCTATTTTAAAGTGTTTTGGCCTCACAAAGGACCTGCATCCCTTAAGGTGTCACCAAAGGCTATCAGGGCATCTCATCAACATGATCGGACCAGGATTACTGCCCAAAAAAAGAGCTCGTTCTAGCCCAGAGCAGACATGTGACTTAGCCATTTCTACGACAGCGGCTGAAAAGAGCTTGAGGACCGATGGAAAAATGACCTTCAGATTCCCATACATCCCAAGATTCAGAGATTTCTATAATATCTAAGCCAGATAATGGGTTAATACTCTCCTTTTATATAAAAAAGAGCCTTCTCATTCAATAAGAAATCCAAGCAATTCACAAATAAAGAACCATAAATAATGGCTGAATTCAGTAAAAAGTTATATCGCAAACAAGTATCAGAACAGGGTGCCATCACGTTCATGTATCGAACTAGCATGTTTTTGGTTTGATTGTGGGGAGGGGGAGGTGGGGCCTGAGAAGCCGCACAAAGATGGGGACAGAGCCAGCTCACCCTCAGGTTTTGGAAAACAAATCAGCAGGTTATCCAGGCCCAGACCCACTTCGGAGGGTTCCTCCCAAGGAGGTCACCAAACTTGTGTGGTCAAAGATGTACTTCCTAGGATGCTCACTGCAGCCTAGTGGAGCTGGAGATTTAATGCAATCCCAACCCAAACCCCAGCAGGGGCAGGGGTGGGTGTGGAAACTGAGAAACTGCTGATAAAAGTTACATAGAAATTGAAAGCAGGGATGTTTGCACACCCACGTTCACAGCAGCATTATTCTTATTCATGAGAGCCAAAAGGTAGAAGCAACCCAAGGGTCTACTGGATAAACAAAATGTGGTCTATCTTAGTACAACAAAATATTGTTCAGCCTTAGAAAAAAAAAGGAACACCTGATCCTACAGGGATGAACCTTGAAGAGATGATGTTAAGCGCAATAAGCCAGGTGCAGAAGGTCAACTATTGTTACGATTGCACTTCTATGAGGTCCCAGGAGGAGTCAAATTCCTAGAGACAGAAAGTAGAAGGAGGGGGACCAGAGGCTGGGTGGGGGGGTGGTGAGTGTTTAATGGGGACAGAGTTTAAATCTGGGAAGATGGGGATATTCTGGA